TAAATCTAAAGTTTTACTAACTTGGATGTATTTGATAGTTGAATTTTCTTTTTTTTCTAACTTTTACTGTACATGTTATTGAAACAAAAAACATTTTTGCAATCTTTCAGTACATTTTTACAAAACAAACAAAAAGCTTATTCTATACTTGAAGTGTTTCTAAACATTTTTTTTCCTGACCAAGGTTTGGCAAAAACCAAAAAAAAATTTTTAAGAATTTTTAAGAATCCTTAACTCAAACATAACCAGAAATATTATTTTCAACAAAAGTCAATATTAGCTTTTTCTAAAATATAGTCAAAAGATTTTCATACTAAGATCAATGACAAACATACCTTTTCAACATTTAAATTATATTTATTAAAACTTACAACATAAAATAAATATAAAGATTACAGTAAAGCAGACATATTTTTAATTATCATAATGTTTCTTAATGAACACTGTAGTTATCCTCATTTTATTTTTTATTTATTAAACACACTTGCCAAACCATATATTTATATGGTTCTATAACATTGTATCCTCATTATTTGAGACAGTTATGTAAGCACACTATCCAGGGATAACACATGTCTATATCTAATTTGTTGCTGCGGAACTCAACTTACAAATACATGCTCAATAGAAAGTCTAGACATTGAAACACTTTAAAATCTCAAACAAACATATATAACCAACATGAGTGCATTTTGTACACAAATTTTCTTATCCATGGAAAGTTCGAGAGAGTAACTATATTATAAATTTGTGTGTAATATACTCATGTTGGTGACTTATAGTTTAAACATTTCACAAAATACTACCAGGGTTAAGTTTTGCAAATCTATAAATGCTGACAACCTGTAAAAGCATAAAACTAATAATATATTAAATCTAATACAATTTCAAACATGAATACAAAAATAAATTCTAAAGAAATTAGTGATTCTGCCAGCTTTCAAAGAAAGTACAATTTTCTGTTTTTCATTGTCTTAAGAATAATGGTAAATTATAGATTACAAATCTCAAGTGAATTCTCATAATGAAACAAATGAGATACAAGTTCTTAAGCCTTTCTCTCATGCTTTATAAATGTTATGTGAGTAATCAGCATAGTTAACAATAATGTAAATGCCACACAAGCATTGAGATTTTATAAATAAAATATGCATGGATTAATTCCATGTTAAAATACAAATACAGAGAATTTGCACAGCATTTATTAGATCTAAACTATAAGTATCATATGTTTATAAACAGTTATATAAAGAATTAGGAAATATACTGAATCTTTTTTTTTGTTGAAAAATTATCATCTTTATAGCATTCTCATTGACTACCCTTACCATTGTTAAATTTTATAAAAACAAATAACATTACTTTATAATTTAAGTAATAAATTACAGTAGAGTTGACTTGATTGAGATGTGGCTTTAGCCTATTGGTAAACAGACTTTCTTTTGTATAGAGACCGTAATTTGTCCTAGTTAAGATCTTAAAACATTCTCATTGGGTGAGTACATCATATTCTCTTAAAGCATGATCAAAAATGTTGAACTTGATTCCTACCTTACTATTTACATGAGTTTGGAGCTATACTATGATAGAATCAACCTTTTAAATAGGGGTATGTCAAATAGCAAACATTACAACTTTTTAAAGGTAGAATTTTTTGAAATTTGGTGCAGTCTATGTCAGGTTTAAAAATACATTAGTTGCTTTGACTTCTTTTAATAATAATACTGAACATTGACTATCAAATTTTAGTAAGTTAGAACAGCAAACATTCAAAACAAATCTCGGTAAACATAAATATACTGTAACAAAATCCAATAAAGAATATAGTACAATTATATTTCACAAATATGACAATTAAACTAAAGCAGACAATATTCTGATTGATAAATCCAAACATGTAAAACTACATCATGCTTCTACTCAAACTAAAGCAAATCAGTTACAAAGATATTATCTGAAATTTAAAGAGATGTTTTATAAATAGAATATTTAAATTCAAGACTATTATACAGTGATTCAATAAATTTAATGGTATTGCAAATGTATATGAGGAATTACATCTAATTAGACTAGTAATGTTATAAACACATACTGACAATTACTCACCTCCACAGTTGCTTAACTAATAATGAATATTCTCTTAAGTAGTTTGTAATTTTCATGTGAAATACAAAATTGAAAATTTAATAGCAAGGTTTACCTAACAAAGGTCATACAGCTAACTGCTGAAACAGTACATCATGATGGCGAAAATGATGTGATTTCCTAATAGGGTGACCAGATTTTCAAACCAAAAACCAGGACAGCCCTTGCCCCTAATTTCAAAATAGTTATTATAAAATTGAAATAATCTAACTCTAAATTTATTGAACTGTTTCACAATATTTTCAAATATATTAACAGTGATATTGTTTTTGAAATAATTTCGAATGTTGTTTGATAGATTGTTTCGGTAGAGTATTCATGATGAAACTTTGTAGAATAGACGGCAACTGCCTGTTGTAGAGAACAAGTGTAGAGGACAAAGTTTTGAAAGTCTTACATCTTCAGGTTAGTGTGTGTATGGTGTTGTCAGTCTTTACAACAGGCAGTTGCCGTCCATTCTACAAAGTTCCATCAATTTCAACTACTTTTTTAGTGGTAGCAAAAATAGTCAAATGATACATCCAAGATATCTTTAATTATTCACTTTAGCCAACTTATCTTAAAATAGGCTGCTTCGTACATGGATTTATTTAAGAATCCATAACATTTTCAAACATACTACTTTTAGGTTTTAGCATTACTTTGAAGTCTTTCAGACATATTTTTGTGAAGAATGAATGGAATGTTGAAGTTCTGGTTTTTCATTAGTCATAACATTCACTACATAAATGTTAAAATGTTTTGATGATGAGGATTGCCATAACTGTCTCCACAATCAGACCTGGGTTTCTCACCATGCACCGATGTAACTTTTGAAAGAGTCTGGCATCAGGAGAATATGTGTTACAACAATGAACAAGTAAAATATGCCTATTATATTCGTAATTCAATGTGACTGTCAGTTTGATGTATTTATCATAAGAACCAGGACGTTTTGTGCATCTTGTAAGCTTTTCTCGGGACACTGGGACAAGATATCAAAAAACTGGACTGTCCCAGCAAAATTGGGACAGGTGGTCACCCTATTTCCCAAGAAAGTATTTTTGAAACTTATGAACTTTGTTATCAGGTGACTGTGTAAGCTACTAACCATGACAAAGAACAATAGGTGTAGTAGGTATGGATTAAAGAAAGACTGGTTTCTTTTCTAGCTGATTTATTCTAATGTTTTTATGAAAAATATGTTTGAAAGATTGTCCTGTGTCTTTCAAACTTTTATATTATAGCAGAGATGTTTTTACCATGCTTAGATCCTTAAGACATCTCTGCTACTTGCTTATTAAATGTAAACATAACAGTATTAATTTTATAGTAGAATATTAGCATGACCATTAACCTAGTTTTTTTGAAATGCCTTAATTCCCAACAAAATAGTATATTTGAATGTGAAAACCAATAAAAAAAAAAACATTTACAAGCATGTATTTTAATTCTGATAGTTCATACCAGTAATATTTAACCCTAATATTATAAGTCAGTAAAACAGAAATTAGTGACTGTTTTGGTCATTACAATACCTGGAAGATGATAAATACAATAAAATTACCTTTCAAGATAATTTATTAATACAGCATTCAAACAATACAATTCTTGTGCTCATCAGTTTACTACTTACAGAAAAATCTTCATTTGTAAATGAGTTTTCTCAATTTGTAACCAGATTTTTGTGATAGTCTACAGCTTTTTGCAAAGTAATTTACCTATAGACTAAAGAAGACCTGTTTTCAGTGCATTGTTTTCCCTAGTCTCAGATATATGTGTCTGGTTGCATGGTGGGATGTTTGCAATAAATGCAAAAGTTCTAGATGCAGTAATATTGGGGTTCTTCTTCAAATGAAAGCAATCATAAATGGAGGACATCCAAAAACATTAAAATCAATTAGAAGAGGACAAGAAAACTGTGAAGTGGAAGGAATAGTAAGAATGGGGTATTTTGTTCTTTTCATTGTAATCATTCAGTGATTAAAAACTCAAGATATAATTAAACAGACCTCAATACTAACAAGTCATAAAATATAGTTGAAGAACATTTATTGTTGTTTCCACTAAGTCGATAGTGTGTCCAAGCTGTCATGCAAATCAAGATAAAAAAAGGAATGAACCTGAGCAAAAGTAGCCTTGGTTTGGGAAGGCTTTTCATCAACATCAAAACAACATTTGAACTAAGGGATCAACCCTAAACTTATACGAGTAACAGGTCAAGTGGATTTTCTCTAGTTCAAAGTTGCCACCCAAAATGCTGCAATTTCTGAATGACTGACTCAGGATGTTATGGTCAAGAAAACTTAATTAAAATATTGGTATATTATGCTAACAATATTACAAGCACAAATACTTTTTTACATAAATGGCTTAATAATATCAGGAAGTTCTAGTGGAGAGATGGTTTTCTACTGGTGCTATACATTATATGTATCTACATTAATAAAAACTATCCCGATGGAGCAAAAATGTTAAGTTCAAAAAGAATATGTGTGAACAGTATAACAGGCTTTGTATGTACAAAAAAAAAAGTTCTCATTTACAGTGTGTATTCACATATACACCTGAAGTTAATTTTTATGCTTCAGAATACTGTCATATAAAACTTATAATGTTGTTTACCAACTTACATGGCATCACTGATAACAAGGTTATGTCAGTTCTATTACAAGATGTACTGAAACATGCATCAGATGAGAGTGAAAATAGTTGTCACTCATTTAAATTATTGTGAAATTCTAACCAATCTAATGAATATTGGAGTTCCTGCATATCAACAGTCTAAAGCCACAGCTCACTCAATTCTGCAATAAAATTATAACATCGGAAAATAATATACGAGTGTAATATACATATTCAGATGATAGCTTCAGACATATCTATTCAATAACAAACAATTCTCCTAACTAACTACAGAAAGTTTGGTAATTTTTATTTATTACAAATTAATAGTTAGGTCATTATCACTACACCTTCAGCTTCCAAAAGTGTCATTTTTACCTCCAGTTTTATGCTTTATTTGATATTTGTGAACTTGAAACATACAGTTTGAATCTTTCCATTGCCTTAGCTATCTTTAAAAAGTATACTTGTTATATTACTATTTAAATTTTATGTGGAAAAATACAAACTATGCTTCAAAGATCAAACTTTTGTGAACTTTAGACATTACACAAATCACATGGCACATCCATGTACATCAGACACTATCACTACTATTTTTTTTAAGTATTTAAGACACATCTATGAGAAAACAACAGGTAAATAAAGTGAAAAAGGAATAGCACTATTTAGCAATATGACCGATCTAAATATTTATTGAAATTTACTCCTATGAACAACTGATGATCACAGAAACTTCTTAAATTGAGGCTAATAAAAATCACATTTTTCATGGCTTTGATCATAAGCTTGCATTTACATATAAAATCTTATAATTTGATTTCAACAGTCTCAGAGTTTATATGAAATAAATAAATAAATACTATTCATATTAGTATTTTCTTTTCAAAACTAAACTTGATAAGCTGGAAACTGCACTGCAGTACAAAAGTTATTTATTGTCTTACTTGTAACACTAAAACAATTGATCAAACTTTTTGGAAAAGAAGTTGAAATTTTATGTACATGCAATTGAATTATTTGTCAAATGACACATAAAAAGAGCTCCAAGATATTTAACATTTTAAGACGTATTTCTGAACTACTATCTTTATCTTGGTGTTACTATACAAAGTTAAAGGATTTAAGTTTTGTTTTATCTATATAACACATCAAACTTCACAGCTGTTAACCACAACTTCACTGAAATGGTTAGTGCTTGCTTATGTATGCTTCCTGGAATTATGAATTCCATCAATTATTTGATAAACAACTTGCACAATATAGACAAAAATTCTCAAATTAATACAATAACTATATATCTTTCTTTCGGACAGGTTAACAATTCTTATTATATAAATGTTTTGGTGTTTTGATGACAGTACATGAGCTTAAATTTACATGTAACTGAAATTTATCTTGAAGCTGCTACACAAAATGCTGTGTATATAAAAAAAAATCAAGAAAATATTGAATAGCAAAGAAAATAGTTCTTCAAACCAAGTCTCCCTGAATACCAGGAATCCTAACTTGGGTAGTATTCAGTTGAGCTAAGCCACCTCCAAGTCCAAGATCACTGTCATACACAGCATTGTTCTAGAATAATAAAATCATTGTTAGTTTTACACTCAACTGAACAGCAAAAATATTTTAACAATCTAAGAGCCATTACAAAACAATATATTTATTTCATTTGTGAATGCTCATCTGGAGAGCTTTGTGATGAAAACATAGAATCCAGAATACCACTTTACAAACTTGATTAACTTTCAATTTTATGTGACATAGAAGTAATTATATTCAGTCAAACAAAGTGCACTTACACAGAAAAAATTTAGGTACAAAAATCTTTATTAAGAAATTTTACTGACTTAAATCCAACAATTATTATTTTATTTATAATCTAACCAAATGATGAACAAAGTATACAAATAATATAGTTACATAATTTCTATTCCTGAAGCCAGTGTAACAAAATTAATGTTTAATTAACTAAGTAGCAAACTTGCTTAACTCAAAGAATACATTTTGGTAAGTGTTTACTTAATGACACTATAACAATATTAAAAATATGTATGAGAAACATCTGAAATCATGGCAGATAATTTTATTATCAATTATAAACTGATAAATAGCATTTGGGGCAATCAAAAGTTCTGATGCAACAGGTTACTAAATAAGATGTCCTACTGGTCTAAATGTGATGTAATATCACACCTGTAACCATTAATGATAATAAAAAAAAATCATTCTGGATAAAAATTAGAGGAATCACAAAATATGAAATCCAACAGCCAGAGCACTTCCAAAAGATAGACTTTCCTTTACCAGGTCTATCTTCCAAAAGTATTCAGATTAAAGGTTTATTATTCTATTACTGTTCTTAGATCTTGCTAGGCATTTTCAATTCACAGAGTGGAAAGTAGTGTTCACTTACAGACTCGTATCCTGAAGATTATGCTGATGTTTTGTAGTACAATGTTGCAGCATTGTATTCTAATATTTATGATGATAATATGAAAATTAATTGAAACTCCAAACTACATTTTTCAATGAATAATGATAAACTTTTCTTATACAGGATTAGTTAACTGGACATGATGAAACATAATTGTTAAATCTTATAAGACCTATATGTGTTTATATGTTATGCTAAAATAAAAATGATCTACATTTCATTGAGGTTAAAAAAAAAGTTTAACAGTGAAAGCAAGGCACAATGAAAATAGAAACAAAAAGTGGAATTAATAGAATGTTCCTTAACTCTTCATCCTGAATAAGATGAGGTGACAATTTTTGTATGTTTATTAATAGGAAAAAAATATGAAACTCAGAAAGAATAATGAAGTTCTAATAATACAAACAGAAGAAATAGTCATGTTACTTTGTAAATATAAGCATAATATAAATATTAGAAGGTTACAAACTGACTGACAAAGCTGTAAACTTCTAGAGCCATATGTACAGAACTATACAAACCAATGAATAAATGTATCAACAGGCCATTATATACAAGTTTACAGTAAAACTTTATATATAAAAAATACTTTGAAATAATTGATCATGTTTATTATCTGGAATTATGAACTGTACCAGTGTTTCAATAAACAAGTTGCACAACATAGCCAAGAGCTCTCTCACTGATACAATAACATGTTTTTCTTTCTTAATTGATTTGCAGTCTTTTCAAACAGTGAATCTAATCCATTAGATCAGTTTATATATGTCACATTTTTAAACTTTCTCTCGTTTTCCTTGTATTCTTCAAACAACTTAAATACAATATTTGCACTTCTGATTTGGGCTTAAAGATAAATTTCATTTTGAGTTTTCTGTTAGGTTGAGTTTTTAAGTCTATAAAATTTCAATTAGTTTCCTGCTTGCAACTTCTGTCTTAATGCCTATTAGGCAAACTTGTAGGTAAATGCCTGGAACAGAATAACTCATTTTAAATTACATTAATAGTTGTTGTCTAGGTGTTCTAGTATTGCCACGTGCAAAAATGATCAGAAAGATTTCTTAGATTTTCTTTTTTTTTAAATAATTAGTTGAAATCATTGTTTGTGTACATTAATAAGTAATTCATGTTCAAAATCAAATAAATGTAACCAGTTGATCACTTATATATTAATCAATGACCATGGTAAGCTTGCTAAACTGCATTCAAATAGTTCCTATTCATTGAATTTCCACCTCAGAAATTTATCAGTCTTTTAAAATTTAAAATTATATGAGTATGCTACCATTCTGAACAAAGCAGTGTGAATAATAATTTTCTATTTAAAAATTTTGCATTAGGCTTTAATGTAAAATCAAAAAAACCTTTTTTCATAACTGGAACAAGAATCCAAGATACATAGTAAAGATAAAAAAAGTTTGGTGTTGACTTGCAACCATTTTTTTTCCCTTTTTAGTTTAAATGCAGATACTAGTTCATCATTATACACTGTGAGTTATCCTTTATTGGCTACTGGTTTTATGAGCCTTGTAAATGTGAATACATATACTGTGATGCCTAACTGGTTCCATGACTAAGTTAATAGATGCTCTTGAAATGTTACAGGTACAAGCAGAAGACAAAAGTTTCTCATCGTATACCTATCCAAATGAAGATTAACCCCTTCCTACCCACTTATTAAAACAATGTAAAAACATTTCAGTATTCACGTTCTAACCCCCAACTTTAACATGGTTGCATTCTAAAATCATGGTTTATGTACATCCTATAAGCAAACAAATATGTTGGTAACATTTGTGTACAGCTGTTGAAACTGACTTTTAAAATGAAAAAAGCTTGTTGTTTACACAAAAAACATGCTAACTGGCAGCTCTGAAATACTGCTACACATTATACAACATTGAATATAATTATAGAGATGTGGAAAAATGGTTATAAAAATGCTAATATTATGATATTATTCCCCCTCTATTGTACAAACAATTGCACAAAGTACAGTCATATGGTTATAGTTTACACTGTGCAACTGTCATCCAACCACTCAAACAGTGCCATACTAGCTTAATGTTTATGGTGTTTAGTAATAATCTCTCAGAAGTAGTGTGGTCAATGCATTCACGGCTCCTATGAGAGAAATGCCTCATGACAAACAGATAGAAATCAGTTTTGGTTGGTGAAGACATATAACAGTTTGAGGCAAAATTTCATGTTCAAGTAGGATCTGTATGGAAACTCTGAAGAGGGTACGTGAAACTACTAAAATTGAGCTCCTGGGAAAGAAATACCTCATGACAAACAGATAGAAATCAGAGCCTAAGCTGAAGAAAAGCTGTCCCATGCGACACTTTGAGGCAAAATTTCATGTTCCAATAGGAACTGTATAGAAACTCTCAAGAGGGTATGTGAAATTAGTAAAATTGATGACAGAAGCAGTAGAGAAAGAAAACCTAAGCTCTTCAAAAGTGACGTTAAGTAACTCAGGGTATGCTCTTTTTGTGGATGTGAAGCTGCTCAAAAGTTATGCTTAAGATAGAAAACCATACCAAAAGATTTAAGTGGGCATCAGACTTGAAACAAAGGGATAAGAAAAGTGGAGAAAGGTGCTTTTATAGATTAATCCAAATTCAAATTGTTTGACAACAATAGTTTTTTTCAATACCAAAGAGAAGAATGGTGTCACAATCAATGTACATATGCAGTAAAGAATGCAAGTGCGAGTTACATCTCAACAAACAGTGTTGTAGATATACAAAAAAACTGATGTCATCCTGACCACTGATGGTTAGAAGCACATTCTTAACCATCATATCATTCTCTCAGGAACAAGACCTATTGAACAGGAATTTATCTTTCAGCAAGACAGTGATCCCATCTGCAGTGATATACAAATAAACTGATGTCACTCTGAATGCTGATGGTTAAAAGTACATTCTTAACCATCATATCATTCTCTCAGGAACAAGACCTATTGAATATGGATTCATTTTCCAGCAAGACAATGATCTCAAGCATGTAGAAAACATGGTGAACCAATACCTGAAAGGAAAAAGAAGCCAATAGAATGCTCACAACCATGGTTTAGCCAATATTAAGGCTGTATGAGCTTATATGGGAAATGAGTGGGTAAGAATACCAACCAAACATTTGGAAGAATATTTCACAATTAAACATTGACAATCTTGTGTATTTTTTGCAATAATGTATTGTAATAATAATAAATTGACCATTTAGTTGCAATTATTCATTGTTTGTAACTCTTGTAATGTGTGTGTTTCCATAATTACTTCCAACACCGTGCATGTGACTGTTAAAATGATTCTGTTAACAAGAAAAATTACATCAACACACACTCAATATTATGAATGCTATACACTAATTATGAAACATATAATTAACTGCTTTTGCAATATTTTATTCATACATCTTCACAAAAATCCTGTAGAATTTGCAATACATCCTTCAAAAGATTTTGAAGAATTTATATCCTCAAAAGACATTTAAAAAATCCATGAATAGAAATTTTTGCATTTTTTGCTTAAACTGCCAAGATTCAATTTTCGTACTTAAAAAAAAAATCTTAAATAGCAGCAGTGCGTGAGTTTAATTAACTTATTTAGTTGTTAAAACACAGAAAATGACAGAAAAATGCATATCTTACATGTAAAAATCAAAGACAAGTAAAAGTGTCTATTAAAAAAAGCTGGTTAAAAATCAATTCAAAAAATATTTATATTCAGTAATCTTATATAATATATCTAAGCTATATGAAAAAATATTTCTTATGTGTTTTGGTGCAAAAAAAGTAATAATGTGTAAAAAGTGCACATTTAAGACCTTCTAACCTTTACAACTTCTTCATATGAAGTTTTGGCTGTCAACACTTTGTGTTTCCACTGATGTGGCCTTTAACCATGAGGAAGTGATATAGCAGTTAGTGTATAAATAGACTAGAAATCAACAAAGTTAGATACTCCAAAAACATTTAGAAATTATTATAAAACTGGAATCTTACTGTTTGGGGAGGCCCATAGGGGGCAGCACCATTTGTTCCTTCAATTTCAAACTAGTTGCAAAAGAAGATATTTTCAAATCATTAACCAGTTGAACAAACATTTAGACATTAGGTTTATTAAGTACATGAAACTAGAAATCTAATAATTATAAAACATTATAATTCTAGTAAACATGTACCTACTTGCATGATGTGTTATCATATTTATGTTTTAAAAATGAGTTAAATGAAAGGTACTATAAATTACAAAGCAGTTTAAAATGAATGATTTAGTGATAATAAACTTCCTTTAAAATATTAAACATGGAATTACAAAAACTGATTAGACTCTCATAATGAAGTTATACAGAGTAATAATTTAGAACTAGCCAAAATTATAAATATATTTCTCCGGGAAAAACTATTTTGATTTAATATTTATTTCCTGAGAAAAAAAATGTTACGAATTTGAAAAAAACTTCTATTCACAAATATGTGTTAATTAGATATATCTAATTAACACATATTAGATATATCTTAAGTTTTGATGCTTAAGAAGGTTTGAACAATTTTGTTTTTACTTGAAAATCTTCATGACACCAAATACATGTTAATAATTAAAGTAATGACTGACCTTGGCAGATGAATTTTGGTGATTCTTCCTTCTGCCTGAAACTTCAATATTATCACCTATACACAAATCTACATCAGAATCTTCAACCGTTTTGTTCATAACATCCTGTAAAACAAAAAACAATCAAGATGTGTAAAGATTTATTTCTCCACCTTTTTTTTACTAACATCATTAAAACTATGATTCTTACAAACATACATAATTCAATTTTTGTATTCAATGCCACTGATCGTTTAAAATCAAAGTTAATACTAACTCAACACAATATGGAAGTTAATCAAAATTACTTTTTTTTTAGTTTATTCTTTTATCACAATGTACTCTAGAACAAAATCTTTGTGAGTAGAACACACAGAGATTATTACAATATGACTGAAAAACATCTTGATGAAGATGTTACACATTGTTGATGACAATAAAAATTTTCATTTTGCTGTAAGCTGTGATAAAATATACCTTAAGAAATATGATTAATACACTATAATTAGCATTACACAAGTTAAAAACAATAACACAGTTTAACTATTTTCTTATGGTGTCATGATCAACCAGTCTTGGTAAAACTAAAATGACAATATTTTCTAAGGTTTATCCACTTTAATTTCTAAGTATTTTTAACCAAAAGTCATCAGCTTCAGATGCAATCTAAAACACTAGGTTAGCTTTAAAATTATCTGACAAAGAGAAGAAGATTCTCAAGTTACTCTGGGGCTACTTCAGCATAAACATTAAAATGAGTTTGAAAATTTCAAAATTAATCATAGTCTACCTATGATAACTACAGTAATATGGATTATGATTATTGTAAAGTAATCAAAATCTACCTTGGGTATTACTGTGTTTGGGCCAGTTTGGTGGTTGGAAGTTAAAACTTGTCTTGGACATTACTGTGGCTTATTATACTAACAACAGATTGACTGAAACTTACTTAGGAGATTGTTCTGTTGAGAACAGTATAGTAACCCCTGGTTAATAACAACTTAGCTTGGGGCACTGCTGTTCTGTGTTGAGTATATTAATAATGTAAGAAATTAACTGTAACTTACCTGGGAGATAGTTCTGTTGAGGACGTATAGTAACTCCTGGCTAATAAGAACTTAGCTTGGGGCACTGCTGTTCTGTGTTGGGTATATTAATAATGTAAGAAATTAACTGTAACTTACCTTATGAATACTGTTTTGTTGTGGACTGTGGTTAATGAAAACTTACATGGGACAACTGCTGTGTTGTGGTTAGTATACGTGCCAAAGGCAGACAGCAAGAAGGTAGAGTTTCTATAAGAGTAGGCTGACTATGTGTCAGAAAAGGTTTCATGTAACTGGATTACTGTTAAGGATATTATAAGTGTTCTCAAGTGAAATAATAAGACAATAACAGACTTTGAACATGTTCTACATGAGTTTCAAGTTAAGAAATAAATTGCATCATTTAGCATTTATTAAACTGTATGAAAACATTGAAGTAGTTGAAAGAGAACTAACATGTTTACAACTTTACCGAAAGTTTGAAGATTATAGATATGTTAAATGTATTTTTCCTAAAGTAACTGTAAAATTCATAATTTGCTAGTTACATTTTCCATTATACAAAACTAGAAAAAAAAGGATACTTCACATCAAAGTTGTACCACTTTCTGACTAACCAGGCCTTTTCATGTGGTGTCCTTATTTCCATTCCTGGTGGTGGACTTCTGAGATCGGTTGGAGTTGATACTTCAGATGTCTGAAAAACAAATAAGCCATAAATATGCAGCTTCTTTAAACTTTTTTGTGAATATCTAACAAAAATTACTGTTAAAAATATCTTCCCCAAAACACTGTAGCAAATCCTTACACGTGAGAATAGATATAACTGAAACTAGCTTAATTACCTTGTTGGCTATCTGTAATATTCAAATACAATTTCAAAATGTTTATTAAAAGTTCAGTTAAAATTATTTAAAAAGTATATTTCTTATTGGTTCTTAAAATTCAGTTTTCGATATGTCTTATGTAAAAAAAGCACTTCACAATACAACCAAAAATGATATAAAACAGAATAATACATCAGGTAATATTCGATAAAAGTTAGTGTAAGTATTATGAGAGGTTGCTAGGTCACCTTTACATTCAGTCCAATGATTTTTGTACAGGCAGTATTTTACAAACAGACAAAATTCACATCCTTACCATAATGACTGAATTAACAATGATTTAATTATAGAGATTATTTGAGTCTTAATTTAAATCTCTTAAATATGACTAAAAAGCCACAAATTTTAACTAACATAGATAATTTTAGTAGATGACCTAAAAATGAACCTACTTGATATTTTGCTGAAGTTCTTTCAGTTTTGCCTTTAGCTAGATAACTACAACTTACCTACACCTTATGGAGAGTTGTATTGGTTTCTTTATGAAATTGCTTATCATGTGAACAAAGTGTACAGAAAACAACGCCTTGCAGACTCAGTGACAGCCATATAAAACTTATGAGGCAGTAATCAAACTCAAGTTCAGTTAGAATGAGTCACAAATAGCAACTGAGGGATAATAATTACAAATTACTAGAGAAGCCCATTTTGAACATTAAGTTCGCATCTACTGCAAGGGTATTAGGCCAAGTAAAATAATTGTATTGGTAGTACTGGTTTCACGATTTACATATCCAACATCAACTAATGGTAGATGGTGTATTAAGTTTGTTTATTAGATTTTGAACAAAGTAACAAGAGGCCTATCTGTGTTAGCAAAATGTAATTTTGAAGTTATAGGCTAAAGAAAAGTCTGTTTTGTTTGTAGTTAAGTTAGACAATGGGCTATTTGTGCTGTGCCCACCACAGGTATCGAAACTTGGTTTCCAGCATTACAAGTCTGCAGACTTACCGCTGGGGCACTAAAGAAAAAGGCAGCTAGTTAACACCACCTTTTGATCTATTCTTGCAGACCAAATAGTGGGATTTGACTCTTATAACAAACCCAGAGTTCAAAGGTATAGAGTGATTTTTTTTGTCATTAATGGTAAATGAGCATGAAAGTTCATCAATTTCTTCTTTCTCTGTTTTTTATGAAATTATTTACCAAAACTTACATTTTCTATTAGTAAATTCTATACTGACCAATTTTGAAACTCAACAGCTATCTATATTAATATTAAGTGCTGCTTTCTTGCTATATCCAATTTTTCAGCTTAAAATTTTAAAAAATCACATAGGTGTCCAAATTCCCCTTTCAGTTCACTGTTAAAACCCTGAATAGGTTCTTAAGACATTAAGAAGACTAACCAATTAACATTATTTATTACCAAAAATTTAACTTTGCTCAGAATCATGATTCTTTTAATTAAAAAAACAGTAAGAATCTAACTTCATTCACTGTAGTTATATTGTACTGTGTTTAGCTCCTTAAAGGAAACACGTCTTTCATGCAATTTTTCTTAACATTCATTGCAATAAGAACCTTATGGGTTTCCTCCTTTGTCATTATCTTATTTATTTTATGAAACAAAAACTTAAATGCAAAAACAATTGTTTGTGCCACATGTAAGCCAGTTATCACATCATGTAAACACATTCTCTTCAATTTTTTTCCCCTGACTTATCAGAGAAAATTCTAGATTTTCCAGAGCATCACAACACACTGACATTTCAACTTTTTTCTATAATTTACTCTCATAACTACCACAGTTTCAGCTTGCAATCTGGTTATAAAAACAGTAATGAAAACTTTGGAACATACCTACTTCAAACTACAACACTACAGGAAAAGTTTGTTTGTTTCTTAATTGTTAAGCACAAAGCTACACAATGAGATATCTGTGCTGTACCCACCACGAGTATTGAAACTCAATTCTTTAGCATCATAAGCCTTCAGTCTTACTGATAACCCAGTACAGAAAAATATCTTCAAACAAAAATATTGAAACGTGACGGTAATACAGCAGCAATAAATGTTTCATTTTTATTTACAAAAGAATGTCTTTGCTAACCTATCATCAAATATAATGAATTAGATAATTACCACTAGATAAAATAACATAGAAAAAAATTTATATATATACAAATAAAATATAGCAATAACTGGCATAGCTAAGTAATACAGTTTGCATGTGCACATAGCTTCTGAGATAAAAAAAAAGAAGGGATCCACAATCTTCCTTGACTTTTCCTTTTCATAAAATGCCCTGGATTTTCCAGGTTTGTGACAACCCTGCATATACTTACAAAAAACTAAATATTATTTCTATTTATTTCATTACAGCCATCTTGCACAGAAAACCCACAATATATTAGTTCACTTTTTATGTTGCTCTCTAGTCTAGTAATTTACTTTCAAATGGAAGTTTTTTGAGTAACATTACATAAAAAACAAATATACTGATAAAGTATTGATACTAAATAACTTATCTCTGTAACTGATTTATTATTTTTTTAGTTCCTACCATGTTAAGTTACATAAATAACACCCACATAGTGCTTAAAAGCAACACAGAATGTTAATAATAAAAAAAAAAAAACTACAAACAGAAAAATCTTCAGAATGGAGCACATGACTGAATTACCAACTAAACAAACTAATGAAATTTATCAGTGGTTAGAAATTAATCTACTTTTAAAGGATCAGAACATAGGTTTTGAGAAAAGAATTCCAATTATATTACTCCCATATTAGTTGGATATTAATGTTCCTTACATGTATAACAGATAATCTAAAACAAAATTAAGTGTACAGAGTGATACTAGACGTAGCCATTAGTCTTTCACTACATGAGTACAAAAATCCTACATTTTGGAATTTTAACAATGTTTTAGCTTGCAAGATTTTAGGCTTATGTAGGGAAAATATGTAGAATTATTTTATCACTTATTACAATTCCAAATGAACTGATTACTACATTTGAAGGTTTAAGCTAAAAACAAGTATTAATAAAAAGTGTAATCTTCTTACACTGATAAATTACACTTTCATAATGTTTTCACTCTGATAATGGAATAAAAATTCTGATATAAACAAGAAATTTGAACACATCACAGTGTCATGCATCACATTTCCACAAGGTAAAAAACGGTGTTTTGTTACTTAATTACAAAATATTAAATACAATATATTACAAAATACTAAAATTTAATATTAGAACTGAAATTGCCTACTTTTTTTTATCTAAGAATAGTTACTTACTTGTTTAATGCTACTGAAAGGATGCAATTCTTGTTCTTCTTCTACTCCAACCCTTATATGAAAAAATCAGGCATTTAGAAACACAGCACATGTTAAAGTTCTCATATTTAAATCAAGCCACAGCAAGAAACGTTTGAATCAGAAGTTGCAAGAACAACTATTTTGGCTATTATAAATGCTGCAATATTTTATTGTATGCAGTAAATTATGTGCAGTAATTACACATAAGCTTTTATATATACAAATAAACATCAATGTGTGTGTGTGTATCTGTTCCTTATATGTTTCCACACTTCTTGATCAATCAGCACCAAACTTGACACAGTGATACAGGATGACATGAAGAAAGTCAAGTAGATTTACCATATGTTATTGTTGAGCAGCTCTTAGCATGACTGAAATGCTCAACAATTAGTTTTCGCATTGGGCAGTATAAGTAACTCAGAGCTTTGGCTCTGAGTGAAACCAAGACTGCAACAAAATTAACCTTTTTAAAGTCCATGAAATAATTTAAATTGATAGATTAACTTAAAACTTTTCCCATCACCAGGGACGGGTACTTCTGCTTGTAATGTAATAAGACAAGAAATGTTCCGGAAAAATACATGTCCTTAAAATCTCCATTGCCATATTTAGTTCAAACTGAAAAACTTTTTTAAAATCAACCTATGTTTTGATTTTTTTAACTTTTAAGAATTGTATTCACTTGCCACTAGACAAGGAGTAAAAGAAATAAAAGATTATTTCACTATTAACACATTTTTAATGTATCAATCCTAAAGTGCAAACATTATGTTTAACACATTATTCACTACTATTTACTAGAAAATATATAACATTTTTGTTCACTTTTTTTTTTTAATTTAACCTACTTTTGTATCCAGATTTTGAATAAAGATGCTTATTTGTTTACTCACTAAACAAATTTTAGAGATATTTTATACCATTATTTTAAAGTTTACCATTGTTCATTGTCATCTCAGTATTTAATATATTTCATAACTGACAATAATTTAAAACTGACAATACCTTAAAAAATAATTTGTCTGTGTGTATATATATCTAAAGTTAAAAGACACCAATACTTGAAATTCATTAGATCAAGTACTTACGGAATGCCTAGCCAGCTCAAAAGTTGAGTTGTTCCACCTCCACAAATTATCACAGTTACTGTAGAAATTAAGGAAGTTGTAGTTAACATCAGGTGACGAGATTCTGACATGGTGTTTCTGATGGCAAGGGCAAAAGCCATGGCTCCTCTCAGGCCTGCATGTTTCATGAGTAAAAAATAATAATTATAATTAATATGCAATATTCAACTTAAAAAAAGTTGAAAAACTTGAAAAAAAAATATAGAAAAAATACCCAAAAATTATTTTCTGATTCACTATTCAGTGGAATAAATTCAATATCCTGTTATGATGTATTAACTAGTTTAATCAATACTTTATTACAGAGTTCACAATACACATAGTAACATCGTTTGTAGAATAAAAGTGATAATTATGTTAACCTGCCCTTAGCAAAATAAAACATCTGGTATTAGACTAATGTAAAAGAAATGCACTTTTCATCAATACAAGTATTGTAAACAGTAAACTACCAAATTAAATAAAAGATATAAAAAATTGCTTAACATTTTTTTTCTCCTTTATATCCTCACATGGGCCTGATATAAACTACATGTCAACATATCTTTGGGAAACCTGTTAACAAAACTTTACACTCAGACTTATTTCTGAGCTAACATATAACACAAAAATACATACCTGAAAAAAACAGCATATGTTGAAATTTGCAAGGAATTTTATTGTTTCTACCCAAGTTCAAAAGGAATGACAAGGGATAGATATTCACAGCTCGTCCAATTACAATGGCAAGCTGATAGATGTTAAGGTCTACAGCTTATCTCTATATTTACATACATATAAAACAGAAAAATATGATTTCTTAGTTGTTGTTGTTGTTGTTTTAAACTTCAAACTGATTTACTAATGACACAATTGATTTTAAAGTTCATTTTATACAAAATATAATTACAGATATCCAGTATGTAAAATGTATATGTAAATTGAGATGTCATTAAAAAGATAACTACCACTTCATCTGTAGCCATTTAAATTTTATTAGGCTGTATTTGTTTTTAAATATACTGTCTACATGTGCTCATTTAACTGATTTAGTGATTCCTTTGTATACAGTTTATTCAAACATGTTTTATTTTATAGAGAAATTGTTTGGTAAGGTTAAAATGAAATCAGTATGTACAGGATATTCATAGTAATAATAAAAAAAAGTTTCTATAACACTTTCATATCCAGTATGCTTCTAAAAGATCATTTGAATAATCATGATTTGATTTTATTCCTATATATTAGTTCTTTTTTAGCATATCAATTACAATGAAAGAGAATCTGATAGTTCATACATATATAAATATGCACATAAAAAACAAAAAATTGGTGTGGAGTTTTGATTTTATGTCTATTGAATTTTTCATATACATTAAACGTTCATTTAGTATCTTTACATATACTGAAATATAATTTTAGTCTATTGTAAACTGAAGTGCCAGCAGACTCAACACAACTAAAATTTTTTAAAAAGCTAATAAAAACTTAGAGCAAGCATAAAATGCCAACATATGTATACTTTTTAGTTCCTTAAGTACGTATTTCAGTAACAAAGCATTTTCTAAGCTCTGTTAACTTACCCACACAAATTAAGTAAGCCATGAGCACTGACTGAAACAACAAATTACACAATGGAAAATAAATTTTAAGTTAATGGATTTTTTCAAAATACATTTTGTTAAAACTAAGTTTATCAGTTCAAAGCAATACAAATCTCTTAATATTTCCTTCTATACGTATAGAAACATAAGACACACATTAGAATCAAATACATAAATCTTTGTAAATTGTCTAAAATGCCAACATTTACAAGATATGTGAGAAAATGATACTGAGAATGCTGGGAGAATGATATTAAAGACGGGTTTGTGGATTATTTCTTCCCCATATCTGAGAATTATTAATGTTTCAACAGAAAAGCTAATGTTATTTTATTTCTGTTTTTTATTCTTATATACTTTTAAAAACAGACTTCTTCAAGCTTGACACAAACAAACACAGAAATTGTACACCAGTTATCAATGCAAAGAGTGTTATAAAGGCCATTTATCTATCATAATCCTTAAAATTTTAGATCGTGTGTAAGATAGAATACTATCAAAATAAAGTATTTTAAAACATAAAATAATAATAAAGATGGTGAAATTAAATATATGACACAATTTTTTGTCATGGCCAGGTTGGTACAGATGAAGAGACCATCAGCACAATTCAGGAAGTTGAATGCATGAAATTACAAAAACACATAATTTGTATACATTACAAGATCAGCAGCCAGTGATTTGTAGATGGTGACATCTGTGCAAGAAACAAAAATATAGAAGAATTGTCATTTATGTTAACCATAAAGAAAATGAATGCTGTATAACACATTAAAAAATAATGCATTTCTTGGATTTGTTACTTGTGCACAGGTAAGTGTGTGATAGTGTTCTTTGAAAGAGTATGAAATATCTTCAATATATTTACACAAGTAACTGACCATCTTAAGAAAAGCAAGTGTTTATCTAGAAAGTGAAACTGTATTAATGTTATTATCTTAGTCTGTTGTTTACACTGTTACATGAGAAACCTCTGTTTAATAAAATCCAGGCAATTAAATGGCTTTCTGTTTTACAATCAACAGCCAGTCAGAGGTACAATTATAAGATGGAAGGCTAATCTATTCAAGTTAACTTGTCAGCATCTATTTCTTACAGCTTTAGGTGGTGGATAATGAAACTGAAAACAAAGATTAAAATTTGTTTTTATTTTAATGCAAAGCGGCACAGTGTCACCACAGGAATCATATCCAATTTGAACATTATACAAGTTCTCACTGAGTCACTGGGGGCTAAGTAAATACAGCATGAAATGATATGGTCTACAGATCTGCATACAAAACTGCCTAATCAAATAGACCATAAATGTAAAGAAAGTCCAGAAAAGATGCAGACAAGGATAATAACTCACTCATCTTCAGTTTAAATAATAAGCAAGTGAACATATAAAGTTCCTTAAGTTGGGTTGGTTGTTCTACAAACTAACATGGCTATGAAATTACGTGTAACTAGTGTAAGTACTATAAGACAAGAAAAATCTTGTAAGACAAAGTGAAGAACACAATGAAATAACAAACTGATAGTGTTATAAAATTATGTAACCTAGTGTAAATGTCATCTTTTCTTCTGTAATTATTTATATTTTTGGCATATTTCTGTACCATCTTACCTTAAAATATGAATAAAAGGTGACAGAAAATCATCACCACCATTCTAGATTGAGAACACTACCTACCATTCACTGGTAAGTGTTGAACACATTAAAATAACTTGTCATTGATTGCTATGGGTATAAAAATTAAAATTAAATGGTTTATTTGTTTTCATGTCATAATTTCTTTAAAAAAATATGTGATTTCTAGTTGCTTTGCAATATAAGTTTAAATTTAGTGTCACTGCTAAGCTTGAAGTTTTGTTTATAATTGAAAGCCAGATTATTCAAATTTTAAGAAATACTAAAATATTTTCATTAATTTTCTTTTTCAACAGGCAATTCTAAATTTCTAAAGACTTCAATTCGATGCTGATAAACTCAAGATATCAACACACATATATGGTATCACAAACTTTATGTGATTTAAGAAAATACTACATTCAGTGTAGAAAAAAACGATTTATCTATAAATGCTATAGTATACCCATGAAAGGATACAAAAGACACAAGAATAAATCCCACATCCCAGCGATGTTTCTGATAAGTGAACATTGACACTCCAATGTAGGTAAATATAAAACTTTCAGCAATAAAGTTCAGTAGTTCAAAAAACTAGAAAAAAAAACAATTAAACAGATATAAATACATGTCTCTATGGGAAGCACATATAAAATATAAGAACTTTTTGAAAGTGGACTGAAAATGCTCATGAGTAAATTTAGTTCATAGGTATAAACATGGAGCTAAATTGGTACACATTAATAAGATGTTACCCATGTCATTGTGAATTTCTATAAACGAGGTAAACTTTATTTTTAAATATATTTATTATGATAAAATTTATAAACTGAAGCTATATATATATCTCCTTACAGAAAACCTTATTACTTAAAGAGTAGAAAATTACTAAAGTAACATACATGGTAATTTATATTAGTTTCAGTTTTTCTATTTTATATACCTATTAGTCTATGGCACCATTCACAAGGACCTACAGTCCCAATAAATGTAATTTATAATTTCTGCTTACTTTGGTATTTATATTTTCTTTCAAGTCAGTTAATACATGTAGGCACTTCAAGCGAGATGATATTTTGTTTGTTCTTGTCTTGTAGGATTTTATACATTGAGACTATCTGATCTAGCCACCACTGCTTTTGAAGTGACAGACTAAAGGAAAGTCAGACAGTCAAAATCACCCATCAACAATTCTTGGGATATTTGTATCAAACCCATTAGTGGGATCTGGCCAACACAATCATAATGCACTCAGAGCCTCCAAAGACAGAATGTGATTTTTATTTGTTTTTGAGGGGGGGAGTAAAGGACATGAACCCTTGAATCTCAGCTCCACAATCCTGAATGTTAATGACTGGGCAATGCTCAGCCTAAAATGATATGTTGAACAAACAATGCCAATATACCATCTCACTAAGAATTTAGTTTTATGGCAAATCAGCATGCAGTAGGGCATATTTATGTTGAGTGGACGTCAAATAATACTTACATGCATATACATGTAGTGATAAATAAAAAAAATGTGACAAGAATTCAACTTGAAGGAAATAAAATTATTATATGCAAGGTTATTGAACTTAACTGATATTCTATACATACCTTTAAGCTTAGCATAGCCAAAATAGATTCTATTTTATCCTGAGCAGCTGCCGCATGCAACCATACTTTATAATGAATTGTGAATTTTTCTCTTTCTCACTAAAACATGCAACTTCATTGAAGAAAAGAAATAATTTATGATTGATTTACATAACATTTTTTGGCTTTACTTTATCATAAAGCATTAAATCTTTTATTTTGTTATTTCAGTATGCTATGATCAGAGAAAGGTTATAGAGATGAGCTCAGCTCAGCCTTCTCCAACTTCCCTAATACTCAGTTTTAGAATCTTCCTAATGTTTTTTACTGTAAATTTAGTTATACAAATAAAGTGAAAATTAGTCACCCAACCAATCAGTCGGGGAATATAGCTACTAATCAATAAAATTTAAGAAGTCTCAAAATTATAATTAAAATTGTAAATCTCAAAATAATTCAAACTAAGATTTTTGAATGGAGGTCAATGGTAAAAATATAATTATATTTGCAAGCATAAAATAAGCTATTAATCAAATAATATACAATAGCTTGTAAGTAACATTTCTTATTAGAAATTCATACTGTCCCACCACTGTGTATACTTTTATGTTATTTATTACATAGAAATGTCATAACATTCACAAGTTTTCTGTAAACACCAAAGCATTCAAACATAAAGTGTACAACTAGTGTTTTATCCAGCTTCAAATGTTATTCAGTTAAACAAGTTTACCTGTTTAGTTCGAACCCTTGATTCATCAGATAAGTTGTTAAAGGTGTAATGAGCTTGACAGATACCACAGAATAGAACAGCAACTATACCTGCATAAAACAGTCACACTGAAAATTAAGTCTCCATTCAACAAGTTAGCATTTTCCTACACTGAAAATGCATTTCTGATAAATATTTACCTTTTCTTGACCAGCACTGCCCTCTATTGGCACAAATTTTCAATACATATCACTAGCCTTCCACCTCCTGCGTCCGCATATCCACATGCAAATGATCATGCAGCAGCTCTCTACCAATAGGAGCGTGACACCACTTATATCGTAAACATCACCCTCTTCATGTCTGCACTCATTAATCACTTCGAGATTGGTCAGAAGACCTACACCATATATCATCAGAAGTGGGCAAGCTGGAGGGAAATGTGAGCGGAGGTAAGTACCTATCGGAAAAACATTTTCAGTGTGGGAAAATGCTAACTTCTGATACGATTTAACTAGTGGAGAGCTGATAAGAAAAAACAAAGATCTCCCTTTCGGAAGTGCCCAAAAAGAGACCAGAAGGTATGGAACCAAAAGAGAAAATACAATACCTCAGCGAGAGACTGTGCCACTTCTGATCCAGGTATACTCTCCACTCTTTTATGATAGTGTCGCGAACATAAAAAGCAGAAAAACATGAAGGAATTCCAGAATAAGTCTGAACGATGAATGGGACTCCTGGGTGTTGAGTGGCTAGGGCTCAACAACTCGTAGTGATAGTTGACCTCATCCAACACCTCGAAATGGTAAATAGTAGGAAAGATGAGCTTCAATACCAAAATCCATGACCACTTGCGTACATTTCAACACAACCAATGACAGATTTGCCAGGAACTGACATCCAGCAGGTGGTAGAAAGGCAGAAATCTCCTGTCCAAAATCTGATGGCAATGGGTATGGTACTTCCAGTCTGAAGTACGTGGAGGATATCTGGCCATACCCAAGTGGTAAAACATCTGCTGCATCCAGCTACAACGAACACCAGGTCTACTGGAAACTGACACCACAAACCTGGGGTGCATCTCCAATCCAAAACCTGGTGGCAGTGGGCATTTGTCATCCATTCCGCACTATGAGGAGGGATACTGGCCAGCACACGTGAGGACTTACATAGCTCCAACCAACACTAGACTCACCGGGAATGTACATTTAGAGGATGGTAGGGAGGAGGAATATTTCAGCCTGAGGGGCAAGCTGCAACCTGGTGACATCTGGTACATCAGGTCCAAGATAGGAATGGCATCACACCATCTACATATAATACTAATCACGACCAGGCCATCTCCAACCGAAACCAAACCCACTGGGAATGTACATCCACAGGATGGTAGAAAGGAGGAATGCCATGATAGGAAAAACCAATTGGTCAGATATATAGACAGGAATATGGTGTAGTGTTACAAACAAAACCTGGTGACATCTGGAATTGTACATCGGGTTTGCGGTACGAAGCGCAATACTCCAGCAACACCTGCAGAATGCCACCACCTTACTTTCAACTGACTGGTATGATTCGTAACTCAGAAGGACAGGTCTCCATGGTCCACCACCCCAGTGACTAGGAACTGATAAGGACTCTCATACTCCACTTGAAGAAAAGGGGGAAAAATGTGTTGGAGAGTCTGGAGGACTGCATCACAGGATATAATGAAAAGCAGAGCTACCGTGTCGATAAAGTCGATCAACCAAAACCTGATAGCATCTGTAATTTTACATCAGGTCCACAGTAGGAAGTCTCAATGATGTTGAGCATCACAGTTGGGCAGTAATATCTGTCTGATTTACTCATGTTAATGAGTGTATAGTCTGGGATGAACATATTTATAATGCAAAAAATCACTAGAGAGAGCTGCTGCATGATCACTTGCATGTGGAGATGCAGAAGTGAAAGGCTAGTGATGTGCATTGAAAATTGCACCAATAGAAGGCATTGCTGGTCAAGAAAAGCTATTTTGTGATTCTCCTCTGGAGGTAAGATATCATATTGGAAACCACTTTAAAGAACCTAATGTAAAAATGGTTTAAATAAACACACAAATTAATTCTTAGGCCTCTAATATTAATCATATAATTTGTAAAAAATAGGCAGAAATTTTAAATAACTTACCTCAGATATAATTGTATACATAGAGTGCTATTAAATTTTTTTGTTGTGAAATTTATCAACTGTTTTATCCTTGTGAAAAGACCATTTAATGATCTTTAAATCAGCCTGGAACTGGCAATGGTTGTACTTGTCCGAAACAATAAAAATGATAAAATTAATATACAATGTAGATTATATTAAATTTACCACTTAAGTCAGCAGATTCTGCCATCAGGAAAGTGCTGTAAGACATCAGCACAAACAACGATGATTCTAGCAAAGAGAATTCACAAAGACGAGTAAATTTTGTCAGCTGAAGAAAAGTCAAGATCAATAAGCTACAACAACATTAGAAAAGTTTTACATTAATAAAAATTATATTACTGTCTGAAAATGAAACGTGCAGGTTTGTCTGTTTGATTTAGCCTCACGTTCCTGGTTTTACCAGCATCACAAGATACCACTATATATGCTTTGAAAATTGTATAAGTTTTTAGAAAATCTTGCAAGTGTATCAACATAAAGGCCTTGTAGCTTATTAAGAATAACTTAAAACTTAGATAAAAAGGATTTTTTAAATTTGTTAAAGCTAACTGGATTCCATTAGGTAACATGTTGGGTTAAACTATAACCACAACTAATTCCAGATTTAGAATATTTACAGCAATTATATAAAATATTAAAGTTGGGGTAGAAAAAAGTTAAAGTAATTAAACATTGTTGAAAGTTAAACTTTGCAACTGGTACTTGCCAAGGTGAACCATAAAATTTCATGTGATTTGATTTGTGGTATAATTTTATACAATGCTATATTTCTAAGATAAATGATACCAAATCCCCGTTGACATTACTGAGGTTACTATTTGAAATGGGTCTGGATGGAGTAATGTAATTAGCTATGTTGGTTTAATATCAATCGGCAATACTATCAATGCAGTCTTAAAATTGGCAATAGCATTTTTTCCTTTAGATGTAAAAAATCTCCAAAAGTATCTGGATCTTACATAAATTAAGCAAAGGTTTTGTATATATACTTCATTGAAAATAAATTTTAGAATGTTTGTTTGTTTCTTTGAATTTTGTGCAAATCTACACAAGGGCTATCTGTGCCAGCTGTCCCTAATTTAGCAGTGTAAGACTAGAGGGAAGGCAGCTAGTCATCACCACCCACTGGCAACTCTTGGGCTACTCTTTTACCAAGAAATAGTGGGATTGACCATCACATTATAATGCCCCCACAGCTGAAAGGGTGAGCATATTTGGTGGAATGGGGATTCAAACCCACGACCCTCAGATAGCGAGTTGAGCGCCCTAACCACCTGGCCATGCCGGACCTTCTCAGAATGATTTTGAAGTAATATAGTCTAGGATAACAACAACATCGACAAACAAGTAACTAAATTCTACATAATGCACATTTTGGTAAATTTCTATTTATGGAAACCTGAAACAGGTTTATTTAATATAATATTAAGCACAGCAAAAGGTATTAAGAAACAATTATCAGTAAAATAATAAAGAATCTGCAACTAATATTTTCTTTTTACAAAATTAGTTGGATTTCTTCAAATAAATTAGTAACACACCAGTGAAGTATTTAAAATTATTACATTACAATTCAACTCCATCAAAACATTATTTATCAAAGCTACTTATATTTATACATAACTATGTTCATATATACATATATATTTTTTAAACAAACTTGTAGTCTTAGGCCATCTGGGTATCATTTTGTGCAAAAAGAAAATTAATTTAAAAAAAGATTTATACATTTCTAAGGTTGTTTTTACCCAATAACTTACCTTCAGCAAAATATATTACCAATTTGTTTAAAGTATCATGATTGTCATGAAAAATACTATAAAAGGATACCAGTGCTGTACAGCAACCTGTTACAGAACCGATCAAAAAGGAGCACAGAAAAATGTATGCAAAGTTTCCAAGTGACTTAAATGCAGCACCAACTTCAAAACCTGACTCAGTATGGTAGTGTTCTTCATAATTGTTGATAGCTCTGAAAATGAATAATAAAAGAATATACAAAAAATCATAGGTGAAATAAATACATTGTGATAACCTTAGTTTGATAAATGGTAATTGGATAATTGCAAAGTGCAACATTTCAAATGGTAAATTTGAAAAGAACAGAATGATAAAGTGTTTTGTAGTTAGAATATCTGGAGATCAAAATGTGATCTAGGATATTGCATATAAATTTCCCTTGTAATGTTTATCATATTTTACAAATGTGGTTTTCTCATATTTCAGTTTTAGGTTATGTTCATATTTTTATGTATGATATGATACATAGTTTAGGTATGTTTGTTTTGGTTATCTGTTTTAATAATTGTGTGAAATAATTTGTCTTTTTTAATTTTTTCAATCAACACTTTCAATTCAGAAATCAAATTTATAATAATTTCTTTACCTCTTGTCATAGTTTTCATGCTATAACTTTTAAATTAGTATGCGAATGTTACAGAAATTTGACAGATTATCAGTAAACATTACAATTATCAAATTTTTTTTATTAAGTCTTAAGGTTTGTAAAGCAATGTTTTTCTTGTGTCTTTTTTTTTTTGCATGTTGCCTATGTAACATGCAAAGTAATTTTCATCTTAAGATTAAAAATATTTTTATGCATCAGAAAATTTCAAATTTCATATGCGAAATCTTTATAATGTCCAGATACTTATCAAACGTTTCTTACAAAACAAAATGTATATTTTATCTGTTATTTTCAGTAATAAATATCTGTATGGGTTCAGTAGATTTGATCGATTTTGTAACCACCAAATCAAATTAGGAAATAAATATAAGTTATGCCTCTTTCATTCTAGAATGCACACAAATTATAACACAAAAACATAAATGTTTAGACTAAATAGCTTAAATATCACAACATTATACATTTATGTATGTTTATTATTTTTATTATATTGACCTTTCATCCATGTCTGGCTAACAATACAGCAGTTACAATTGCATGGCTCACATGCACTAATGTTACTGTATCCAATAACAGAAAACTGACCTTTGGTCCGTGCAAATTAACTTGTCTTGGCTGTGTTTTAGTAGACTAGTATTTTGTAAAATACAGTCACATTTCAATTATTATACATTATATATGTATATAGATTATTGCTATTTAGAAATAAGTTCTTAAACTTATTTTTCTTAAAACATAGAACAGTAAATAAAGAAGTAAAGCAAACAATTATCTCTTCTTGTTATGACCTTGTTAATTTATTCAGGTTTTGTATACACATTTGAATAACAAAAAAAATCACATATTACTCCACCAATACAACAGAATTCCACAACAATTTATTAAGCTCAGTAACTAAGATGTATTTTAGTCTAAGAAAATATGAAATTTTGAACAGATGAAAGACCCATCCTACCTCCTTGAAATCTTGGTTCAAAAGAAAGAAATGGTGTCCTTTGAATTTAAAATGGCTGAGAAAGCCATTAGGGGGACATTCTGAGCTTTCAATTGGTTATTCATGTCATATATAGAAGTAAGTGCATATAAAGGAGCATTTCTAAAAATGGAAAGAGGTGTGAACGGGGTGCCACTGTGTTTGATTTATTACATGAGCAATATCTTAGAAAATATAAGAGGCTTTTATTTTATATTCTAGCTTGTCAATATTGGTAATTTGAGTTTCTAATATTTTGATTTCACAAACATCTAAATTGAACCAGTGCTGCATTCAACATACAATGTGACACACAAAAATTGATTTTTATCTGTTGTTTTTTTATTTACTTTTAAATTATGAAATTGAGTAATGTACAGTACTAAAATTTGTATTATAACCTACAATTTGATACCAAAGTTAGTGATGTGAATTCATAAAATAGTAGTTCAAACAAAATTTTGAATGCGAGTCAACAAAAGAGATGACATGGCCCTTCACCCATGACCCGTCTCAAAAGGGTTAATGAACACATACTTTAGATAACATAGTATTATATATCTATTCATCAATAGCATTTATACTAAATGTTACCTATATTTTTCTCACTGCCACTTTTTACTTTGTTAAGTTCAATAACATATCACTTACAAATTCAGAAAAAAACACTACTGACAGTTATTTTAAAACAAGAATAACACCAAACTTTGCTAGGCTAGTAAAACTATTTTACTGTAACATGCTACACCTTTTCAAAACATTTTTTTTATTTATTTACAGTGAACTCTTTATTTATACTTTTAATTATATATAAGCCTATAAAGATATCATAAAAATAAGAATTATATAAACCACTAGAAATATTATTGATCTTGGTAAAAACCACAAATAAAGGGTTTTATACTGTTTGAAATCACAGCTACATCACACAGACCACAGGAACAATTACAAGTTTTATTAGAAAGCCTATGAAAAAAGTGATGCACACTTGTAGTTTTGTATAGTAATACAAATACTGTATAGGTGAAAACCTACCCTGACAAAACAATGGCTACCGCATCATTCAAAATACTCTCCCCAAACACCATAGCATACAAGTTGACATCAACATGCAGATCATGGAAAATAGCCAAAACAGTCACTAAAACAAAAAACATCAGTATGTTAATATTATGGTCTTCCTAAGTAGTAATATATATAATTTTGAGTATACAAAATGAGATTGAGATCCTATTTAACCATCAGTTATTAATGCATACCCGAGATCTAAAATATCAAATACCAAAGAGTATAACTAAAATGATTACTTTTCTTTACATAATTTCTAATTAATAAATGTATTTTACAACAAATGACAGCAAAGTTTCCCTATCTATTTGGCCTGTATTACAAAATCATGTCTTAATCTCCAATTATCTTGAAAACACATATCATTGGAACCTACATATAACAAAAACAGTAATGGCTATGGATAAAAGTATTTGAATCACATGAAACAAATACTTTAGACTGACATGTTATACTGCTTATTAACCCTTCAACTGCATGATGTTTGAGTAGGTGACTGCAGTTGACATAATATGATGTTTGAGTAGGTGACTGCAATTGACATGATATGATGTTTGAGTAGGTGACTACAGTTGACATATGATGTTTGAGTAGGTGACTGCAGTTGACATGATATGATGTTTGAGTAGGTGACTGCAGTTGACATGATATGATGTTTGAGTAGGTGACTGCAGTTGACATGATATGATGTTTGAGTAGGTGACTGCAGTTGACATGATATGATGCAAGCATTTTGCACACATCTTGAATGTTCCAAAGCAAAAATTCACAAATCTTTACATAAGGAGTGGTAGGCAGATTTACACAAGCAGCAAACAAAGGGTTAAGGAGAAACAAATTTTTCAAAGATTACCCACAGCTGTAACACAGGAGAAAAATTGCAGAAACAGCTAAACATGAAAACCAAGATATTAAAAACATTTTTACAAAAAGCTTCTGAAAACTACAGTGCCAAAATGAGTTCAATGTAAACTTAAATGGCACAAAGATATAAAATTAATCTGTCTATGGACACATGACACATACTAATTAGTTCAGAAATAAATGGAGGGGGTTAAACTAATATATGTAGCTGAATGCTGGTAAATGATGAGAACATAACGTTTTGGGACATCATGGGACCTATTGGTCCATCTTGGCTGCTCCATCCTCTAAACTAAATTAAAATGATTAAAAATAAAAAACAACTTAAAGCCAACCCATTTCATTCACATACTTATCAAGCTTTTTCTTAAACTCACTTAAAGTTTACTGCCCCTACAACATCTGAAGGCAACTGTCTTAGCTGAAGATGACTCCTATCTTGCCAAAATTTATATTTGTGCCCCCTAGTCCTACTATTCTCATTGTTAAATATAAAAAAATATGATGCATCAACACTATCAATTTCCTTAACAATCTTAAACACCTCAATCAGATCCCCCCTAACTCTTCTTTTTTTCAAGAGAAAACAAATCAAGAGATTTCAGCCTCTCCTCGTATGACAACCCCTCCATCTCAGGCACCATTCTTTGATTTAGTGAGCCTGTGCCAGTGGTGTTAAGACTTGATATAATTTTGTTGTTTATACTTAAGAGTTACTCATCTAAAAGTTACTAAATTAAAATACTGAATTTGATCTGTAAGGGTCAATAATTGCCTGTCTGAGGAAGTTAGTCATACAGAATTTTAAATGGCAAATCAAACTGCTTATAAAAGCATAAAAAAAAAGAGAGGTTGATTTTTGAGTATAGAAGAGCTTTTATTCAAACTATTTACATGAAAAAAAAAAAGAATTGAGAGAGAAGACAGTCAATGTATTTTTTATTCTCTTGACTGCCACTGACAAAACATCATCACATCCTCTACATATCACTTTTATAGATTCTTATTTAGAATAGTTTGTTCTTATATATCTACAAAAATTATACAAGTTGTTGACTTTTGTCTTATTAGGACATGGGAGAATTTATAACTGACAAGGTTGAGGCAGAGATTAACCCCTAGATTTCAAGTAGAGCCAATGGCCAGTGAAAGGGAAAAATTGAAGTATTACATTATGTTTAGTGGAAAGCTTTACTAAGACAAGGCCCTGTCTATTAATTTGAGTACTAAGAAGTCTTCATAAATTTAAAAAGCAGTAAAAAATTATTTTAAAAAATATTAAAAACATAAACTTCAGTAAATTAGAAAAAGCACACTTACAGGTATAGGTGATTGAGTTTTTTTATTTTCAAAAGGAAGAGTACAAATAACTTTAGATAAAACAGAGTATGTCTACTCATCATTTAACATAGTAGATCATAATTTCATAGAATATGGCATCTCTAATGGAGGAGTGTTGATGTAGAAGGATGACAAAATACTTGAAATATGTATCAAGAATAAAAAACCAAAAAAAAACTGTGTGTTGTGACATAATTTCTTGATTCAAAAACAAACATTTAATCATAGATATGTAAACATTTATGAAGCTTCCCATAAATTTTTGTTAATAAAAAGGGAAAATATTTTTCCAAAATGGGAAGCTTTCACCTATTTCCACTGCATGGCAAAAACCTGAATAAAATATAGCAATGTCTTTTTTAAATCAAGGCTAGATCTAGTACAAAGACACAATTATTCCTTCACATATGCATACATCTTCAACATTAAAACAGTTAAACGTGCTTACCTGGATCAGTCGCTGATATTATAGCTCCAAAATATAAAGAGTCATTGAAGGAAAACTCTACATGTGGCATGAGCTGAACAAAACCATACACCACAGCCCTATATAAAGACAAAATAAATGTTGTTAAATACAAAACTGGTCTTTTATGTACATATACTTGTAAATCAACATCAGCAACATTTTCCTTACCTGAAAATTTATGTCAGAAGATATTCACCACTCCACAGACTGAAGAGCTATTACCTCACATCACTGCTGCAAAGTTTTTGTACATGCACAACACCTTTTAATGAAACTTCCAATCCTACACACAATAATGTGTAATGTGCTAGTCTATTATTCAGTCAACATTAGACAATACCTCTCCACCAATAGGAAGGGTGGGTGGTTCTGTGGAGTGTTGAGTATCTATCTGAACTACATTTTCAGGTAAGAAAAATGTTAATTTCAGAAATGCTATTCACCTCTTTACAGAACACGTGGCTAGAATCCCATATTAAGAAGATGATGGAGACACATGTGTAGAGAAAGTAATGAAAAAATGAGCTTCTTTCTGATATTATAGTAACAGAAATGGAAATTCTATGAAGTGTATCACCCACTGGGGGAAGATATAGTGGGAGCATTACTCGATGAAAGGCCACATCCATCTCAAGCATGAAATACTCGTTGTCCAAAGCAAGTAGCTGTTTGAAAGTTACAGTCCAAAGAACCTCCTGTGTGTGTGTGTGCTAAAATGTTGTACAGATGGGTGGAATGTAAAGGCTGCTCAACTGGCCAGCATGCCTCAGGAAGTCAACAGACTATGTGCATACACTGTCGCTATGGCAATAAGTCAAGACATAAAGTAAGTGAGAAATACTTTAACCAGTGATATGATTACCAGAATAATCAACCTGGACCTGCAAATTGCTTCTTCAGTACTTTGTAACTGGTAATAATGAAATTAGACTTACACAAAGTAGAGAGATATATGTTCCAAGTCTTAGATTCCTAGTTGTGATTGAGAAGAAAGTGTCACAGCTTATTTGATGGAAGTATTAAGTATAAATGTTTTTACTCAAAATATGTGGTTAAATGGTTAAACATAATAGTGAAGTATTACCAACTAGCTTTGGTCTTTGGTACCTCTTTTGTAAAAAACTACATCATTCTTTACTTAACTACAGATAATTAGTTGAAAAAAAAGTGTTATTAGAGGTGTTTATAAACACAGAAGGATAAGTGGTTATATTGTCTGGTAATAACACAACTCTAGGGATTAGAGGTGTTTATAAACACAGAAGGATAAGTGGTTATATTGTCTGGTAATAACACAACTCTAGGGATTAGAGGTGTTTATAAACACAGAAGGATAAGTGGTTATATTGTCTGGTAATAACACAAATCTAGGGATTAGAGGTGTTTATAAACACAGAAGGATAAGTGGTTATATTGTCTGGTAATAACACAAATCTAGGAAAAGGATATTGAATGACTGAATTGATGATGTTTATTTGTTTTGGTAAATTTTAGGCAAGTTGTTGTTAATGGTTACCTGTGGACCCATAGCTTTCAAATAGTAGTGTTGATACACCCATTTTGTCTCTAACCAAACTATGAACTGATAAAGATAAAAGCGTACATAAGCATTATGAAATCCTCCAAGTTCAAACATTAGGTGCAATATAAAAAAAATCTTATATTATGAGTCATTTTCTTATGAGAAAAAAGAAATGATTTATTTTAGCATAAATATAACTAGATTGTAAAACAAACAAGAAATCAATCTATTTGTTATTCCTCAAAGGATGAAATGTAAAAAACAGCAACACTTAACTAAATTATTTACTGAGCTTCATTTTACAAAAAAAAAAGAAGATTTTGGAAGTATATTCATGTTTTAAGTCTAAATGAGAGTAACTTGGGGAAAATCCTTTAAAGGTACATGTGCATACAAAAAAAATAATTTATTACGATATTCTATTCACAATTCATATGATTTATGCACACACATATAAAAAAAAAAAAAGGGAGAGAGAGAGAGAGATAAACAATAAAGTACATGTAATATTCAAACTTACCCAACAACAAAACATGATATTGTTGTTCCAATAAAAGCAAAAGTCATTATAGCTCCAAGATTGCGAAAGAAAAATCGCTAAAGAAAAACAAAGGAAATGATTAGATATAGCTCTAAGTTATGAAGTTTAACTATAAACTTATCTTGTTATAAATTAAGGCATATTAAGATGTTTAATGAAAGACATGCCATCCTTACTGCATTATTACGGTTAGCTCCTTAGAGTTAGAAATTAATTTTATATTTAGTCTTTATAACTGAAAAAATTAAATAATAAACTGTTAAAAAATAAACTGCAGATCAATGGTTCCCAATCTGTGTTCAATAGAAAGGTTGCATAATTACAGAAAGGAAGTAGCAGGATAGCATATAAGTCACACTATAGTACGCCACTGTTAAAAATAATAATAATAATTCTGGTGGTCTGCAAACAAAAAATGTTCGAGAACCATTGCTGTAAATTAAAAGAAAATCATTTGTAAGTTATGATGACTAAAACTGAATATCATGTCAATTAGGCATATTTCTTAGAAACAACATAAAGGTAATGAAACATTTTGTCTTACTCTTTTCAAGCTGTATCCTGCATTGAAAATAATTGGAGGAAGAATTATGTTGAAGAATATCTCTGGATCAAAAGTTGCCTAAAAAAAAGTTATAATAAATTGTCTAACAAATTAAAAACAAAGTTCAGAGTTTCCCATTTGACTGTACAGCTTTTATTAATTTATTTTCTAATTTACATCACTTGTATGTAAAAGTAGGTTAAATAATGTTTTTTTAAAAGCTTATATCTAGTTTATGTTGCCTGAATATATATTGAAGCAACTACTGATATTAATGACCACACAGCAGTAAGAAGGTACTTACAACCTATTATTTTGTTTTTTTTCCAAATTAGAACAATACTGAACAAGTTAAAAAACAGACAACATGGGAATAGAAATACGGGTTAAAGAATAATATTTGTTAACCAAAATTAATACAAGACTATAGAGGTTCATTAAAGGGATATGAAAATTGCACTTATATGTAGCAGGTAGTGTTGTAGAGCTATGAAGCAATGCAAATATGTGTTTGTTTTTTCAATGTATTGGGAGTATGAAATGAAAATAAGCACAAATCCATACATTCTAAAATTCATGGAAAACAGGTGCTGGGCAGAAGAGATAAAAAAACACAAAACTCACCAGTTAAGGATTCCACTGAACCTGGGGAATAACTATAAGCAGCAAGTGGAACCCTGAAGCTGAAGAAACAACAATATGATGATGATAAAACTACAAAAAGTATTATAATTCATCCATGTGCCAGCCTTCAAAATGTTCTCTATAAAAGGTATAAAGATTGAAATGTCAAAGAAAATAGCCAAATGGCAAATATGATGATATTTAATCTGAAAATCACATCAAAAGTTTTTGGAAATATCATGATAAATAAGATGGATTAACTGCATTAGCCAATTCGTTAATGTGAATGGAGCAAGTCCAAGTAGCAATATTTGCCATAAGGAATAAATAACCTACAATGAATACCTCAAAAAAGATCCCCTTCATACCAGATAACAGGAAAAACTCTAACACAAAACAGAAAACATCCGGTGAAATGAAAAACAGGGTCAGTCAGAGCAGGTAACACAATAGGAAAAAAATAGCCGTGGCCTCTCTTGCTACCAAAGTGTTTTGTATGAAGGCCAAATTGAGATATAAATAGAGTCCTCCAGGAAAAAAAAAGAAACCAAAAGTGCAAGAAGCATCAATGGTAAAAATATTTGAACATATTCCCCCTAAAGTGAGTAACAAAAGGAAATATGTCTTCAGGGAAAGATGGTATAGTAAACACATTGCAAAAGGCTCAAAAGAGGATGGTGCTAGACAAAATAGGACTAGACTTTAGTCCCACTGAGAACAATGTTGAGGCACTTGTGTGTGATGTAAATGAAACAAGGAGGAGGAAGAAATGGAGAGAAACTACTGTGATAAACTCATGATTGAGCCACACCTGAAGGTACTCAAGAGTAGTCTGAGATAATAAAACTTGCCGAGTTAGGATGGCACCACTGAGAGGCAATAACCCATCAAATGTGTCTCTTGTAAGCATGACATTGTGGGAATTGCATCACAGAGAGGAGTTAACATCTCCAAAACAGATACAACATCTCTGGCAGAAGAACAAGTTGAAAGAAGTAGGAGCATTCAAGACTCAAGAGATTGTAAAACCAAATCTGATGGGTGAATAGTGCCTTGATGTATGTGATACTGGGTAGGCACTAGATGAGACTTGGACATGTGAACAATCCAACACAGTAGTCCAATGAGTGCGAGTCAATGCTGCTGATATAACTATGCTAGTATAATCAAATCATCCATGTAATGTTGAATATTGATATGTAGCTTTGAAGGGCTATGAAATAATAAATTACTCCCCAATGTACAGAACACAGAAATGGATGTGAAGGTTTGTGAATCAGAACGTATAAGTAAGCATCTTTGATATTCAATTGAAGAACCTGTTAATAAGCCCACTGGTCTCAAAGCCAAGAATTCCAAATCCCCAAAAGGTCCCCCAAAAGATCTAAAGGAGGAGTTGTGTGAAAAGGAAGAAAACTATTGTTTGGGTCGAGATTTCCCACCCTAATTGTATCCCCTTTTCACAATACGAAAGGAGTAAAAAACACGAAAGATAGCAAGATGAGCAGCAGCTGAAGTGTGCAATGCAGGAGTATGACTAGTACTATCCAGATATCAAACAGTAGGATGATGACCTGAAGAAATACTTGAAATCACAGTCCTAATCAACTCCTGCTGTTGAGTTTCCCCTGACTGAGAATCAACTTTGGAGAAATGCCATCAAAAACAAAAGGATTCAAGAAAGAAACCCTATGTGGAGGTTATTAGCAATATTGGCATAGGGGAGATGAATCCTCTGCAACATAGCTTATGAGATAACACATAAAAAGAACATGCAAGCCATGTGGCAACAGAAACCAAGTCAGTAAGTGTGCTTCAGTAAAAAAACATGTAACCTGATATCTGCTCCAGAAAAAAAAGAATCAGGAGAATGAAAACAGTTTACAGCCAATATAGCCAATAACTGAGCAGATGAAGAAAGCTGCAAAATCATCATAATCATGGCCCAAAAAAAATGCAAATGATGACATGAAGACTGCAGAAGACTACATGGACAAAGTCCATAAAAACTCAGTCTAAGATTTAGTTTCAGTATATAAATAAAAAGAAGACTCCACTAAAAGATGTATGACAATTTCTCATAGCCTAAAACTGAGTTAAATTGTAATTTAGATTTAGTAGTTAAATATTTGTCGATATATATCCAATTTATGATATTTGCCAACTTGATTGATACACACAGTTTTATTTGTTTTATACAAATGTTTTAATATACAAACAATAATATAATTTACAATAATGGTTATTGTAAACAATGATTTATATACAAAAGTTTTACAAACTTACAAGCAATATAATATCTTCTTTCTAGTCTGGAACTTCCTTGATATCTTATCAAGGGTTGACAGTGAGTGGGTTAATTTTGAGTTGATATAGGTATAATTCACTTAACAGGGAGCCCTATTGTTCTCGCTGGACATACGTTGATTACAGGTCGAGTTTCCACCGATGACGTTAGATAATGTTTTTGTAAAAGTACTAATGTCCCGTGTGAATCCACTGAAGTTAAATGGTGTAATGTTTGAAATTTATAAACGTTCCTGGTCAAATATCTTAAGTTTCCTGATTAATAAGCTTTATAACAATCACAGTTATAGCTTTCGAAGTTTATAGCACACCAACTGTAGCAAACCAATAATAGATACTCTTTTTTTGGCACGGTGTGTTGGTTATATTTATAGGTGTGGGGAGAGTTTCTCGAAAATTCAGATTACGTAACAATACAAAGCTATATTAGTGTTAACGTACACACATATATTGTTGATTCTTACACTTGAGAATCTTCTACAACTTTAGAGAATAGGTGGTAGTTTTGAAATACATATTTAACAGTATAATTTATGTACATTTCTAAATATAAGTTAAATTTAAACAAACATCAATATTAAAATAAATGTATAATAATAAATCTGTCACAAAGGCCAATAAAATAAGAAATACATGGCAAAAGATATTGTTCAGAAGCACCTTGATTTCTAAAAGCATTAGCTGCAATTTGAATGTCAGAAGAAGGGGGGGAGAGAAATAATGTTTCTGATATGACATCCTGTTATAACACACTGGATCCCTCAGTGATGCAGAAATACGTTCAACAATTCAAATGTTACATACCTAAGAACAAAATGGAAACAAGTTCACTAGAAACTTTTTAAACACTATTTATTTAGCTTTTCTGGAATTCCTTAAAGGTAAGTACTGTCTTGTAGTATATTTATGCTTATGTTTACACCTAGCTGTAATTACTGAAGATAGTAACATTTCCTGGAAAAAACAGATCCTTTCCAATAGTAAGTAGCTCAGTGGAAATTCTAATCATTATAGGTTTTAGTTTTTGTGTGAATTGATTCAGTTATATTACGTATTTCTAGGAAGTTTGATACAAAGAACGGATTTAATTAGCTTACAAGTTACTCTTCAGTCTGGTTTCTACAGTTAGATTACTTTTGGTCAGAAGTTATTAATAATTCTGCAAGTGTTGATAAATAAATCATATATTGCTTTAGTAAATGAATATAGGCAGAAGACTGTTTTTTTATATGATTTAAACTGCTTACATCTGAAAATGTTTTATAAGTTAGATATAAAAACAGATGTATATATGTTCTCAATCAATATGATTATATTCACTGAAAGATATATTATGTGTTACATATGTGTATGTTTTACATGAACATACATACACCCACACATACATAAAATATCAAGTTTAACTTGAATAGTAAGTATGCATATTTATATTGTGTGTCACATCATGACAAGCAAGTGTTCTTGTATTCATCCCTTATGAGGCACATAATTCCAGTATGTGAATTTGTGAAACATTAATACTGTTATATTATTATTATGTGATATCACTTACATTTTAATATTTAAGTTTTCTGTATTGTACAAAGTAGCTAGTTCTAGAAGAGTAGAGCATACAAAGTTTTGGCTAGGCTTATACTGACACACATACATTTTTTCAAATGCTTAAAATTATTGTAAGATGAATATCTGTTTGAAAATTATATTGAACAAAATTAACTGCTGCAAAATATTAAAGCTCAAGCTAAATAGAAACTTAAAACAAGCTTTTCACCTTTTGGTCAATATTCTGGCTCTCCACATCAGTTACTTCTCCACGAAACACATATGCATATGTTTTATTCTCACTTTCAGTTTCCATTTTGGAATCTCCTTCACCAGTTCTAACTTCCATTGTGAAGAATAAACTATCAGGTGGCAAGTCCAAGACAGTGACATTATTGGATGTTGGCTTTACATTGACAAATGAAATTTCAGTGTCTTCAGCACTATATCTAATGACAGCCCCAATCACAAGTCCTATAAAAATAAAAAATTAAATCACTGATAACATTATTAAAACACCATAATATATGTGACAGTCTTAACTAGTTACTGTACAACTCAGTCAGGAATAAAAAAAATAGCAGTTTTAATTTCTAAACATAGCTATTTTTGCACCTACTTTTTTAACATATTGTGTAGAAAAACATAATAATTCAGCTTAAACAAAAATTTCCATACTAACAAGTAACAACTATGTTTATTTTTCAAGGAAACACTTTCAAACAGTAATATCTAGCTGATGTTTTCTCACAGAAATATAAAATTTATATAAGAAAAGTATACTAAATGCAACAAAGATAAATAAAGGCATAATAGAAAAAAATGTAATAAAATCTACAAAATATCCATATACTACCATTAAAATATACAGTAACAATGAGGAAAAACAAAGCAAAACTAGTTTAATAAAGACAATGTTTAAAAGAATGTAATTTCTGTTTGTACGATACTCTTTAATCAATGCTCAACTATGTTTTTCATTATTCTACCTGTACAGTGGAAGTTAAACTAGAATACATTTTATCTGATGTTTATTAATAAATTATAAGTTTCGTAGGATAAGTCGGTGAAAACTGAGTATAAACGTGCGTCATTACTATATAAGTGAATAGCTTAAGCTACATCACACTTGCAATTTACATAAGTAATATCAAGTATGTAAATTAGTAGAAGTACTAGTTTAAAATGTTAAACACGGAATCCTATTATCAGTTCAGATTTACTTATTCTTCACAACTAACACAATGAAGAAAAGGAATTTACTCTATCTAAATATACGAATTATACTTATAGAGTTAATCTAAGTATGGTAGCGTAGTTTTAGTAAAAGAAAAAATAACGCAAATTCAGGAGCTCACCATAGATTATGGCGAGGCCAGTTTCATGAAGAAAGCGAGCTCGTCTACGCTTGAAAAGCCAAATTGTACAAACCGTTAATATTAACAAACATACATATGCAAGAATATTTTCCGAGTCAATACGATGAATACCCCTCGCCTTTTCATCTAATTTAATATCTGTAAGCGCATTTGCATGAACATAACTAAAATTGAAAGTTACTACAAGACAGAAAACACGCAGTAACCATGTACACATTGTCACCATCTTCGATACACAAACGATCGTTACTTTACTGCCACCAATAGGTCGCTATCATACCTCACATCGTCAAACAAATAACTTACTAGCTTATAATCTGCATTTAAAAGTGTTTTTGCATGTAAAATCGGAGTATTTTATTTCTGAAATACGTTATAGATATTACAAGTTTATGTAACTGTCAATGTCAATTATGATATGAACAATGAAGATATGGCTCAAACACAAAGGTATCCACGGTAAAAAATAAGAAATACCATCGTCATAGTTATTATCATACATATATATGTATTTATTTATTAAATAAGTTACCCGCGTGATTTATTTCTGTGACGATTCATGAAAACATTATTAATCACAAAAATCTACATAGGACAGGTGAACTCAAGTCAAGAGATTACCACTGTACCACATACGCATTACTCCTGAAACCCTCATTGAATAACAAGAAACGGCCACAAAACGCTGAAATTATGATAAATCTCATATCGGACCTATAATGTCATGAAAATAGTTCATGCTTTGGAAAAATGGTGAAAACCAGAGAGTAACGGGTAAATGACTGCATTACAACTTTAAACATGAACAATGTTATAGGCCTGCTTAATCATCGAAAAGGTTTGTTTGTTTGTTGTAAAGCACGAAGCTACCCAATAACTAATCTGTGCTGTGTTCACCACAGGTATTGAAACCCGGTTTCTAGTGTATACATTTTCAGACTTACTGCTGAGCCACTGGAAAGCTCACTAAAAAAGAACGAAAAATTGTTTTACACCAAAACGAAAAACATTCTTAGGTATAATCTTGAAAATATATCTCTTTAAGGGAAATTTTAATATTTTGGCATAAAATTTATATATATTTTTATACTCTTACGTTTCCGTTTGTTAATTGACTTTCCGTAACTTCGTTCCGACGAAACTTTAGCGACACAAGTCTTTACTTA